TGGGGGTAAACTGTATGGATTTTGGTGCTGGGAGGATAGGAACAGCCTTCCCAGGAAAAGGAGGAAGCTAGTGGCTTTGTACAGAAGACAGAAGAAGTAGCTTGTTGACCCTGCCTGCTAGAAGTTTGTCAAGTCAGCGAACAAGCTGGGATAACACTCTGGGCATATTTTTTTTTTTTCTTGTGGCATATACAACTCCTGGCCTTGCACTCAAACCTGGCCTGACTTCCTTCCATGTCTCTGCAGCCTACTTGCCTGAGTCCAGCCTTACCATGTGGTGAAGGGAAGGATGCATCTCCTGGTGCAGGCTGCATGTGCAGTGCTCTGCAAGTGGAGGTGACACACCTCCGAGGCCTGGTTTTACAGTGTCTGGATGATCAGAAGAAGCTGCAGCAGGAAACCATTCGTCTGAGTGCCCAACTCCAGCGGTTCTGCAGGAGGATGGAGGAAATGCAGCAGGTGAGAATCCATCACCTGGTTGCATATATGCTCAGGGCTCACCATGCTCCTGCACATTGTGGAGGCTGTGCAGAAAAAAGCAGCTTTTAACAGCTGTCTCTATCAGAGCAGAATTTGGTGGACTAAGAAAGATGCCTATTTCTTGTATTAGGTGCTGATGCAGGCTCTGATAGTAGCAAAACAGGAATGAAGCCAAGAGGAGTTTCCTCTGAGGATGACCCACTCTTTGAGGGCCCTAGGATTTCCCTTTATTTCTCCTGATGAGAAGGGATGGGCAGTCATATGTTGCAAAGAGTAACAAATGGCTGTGGAGAATACAAACTGGGCCTTGTGCAGCTTCTAGCTTTCCTGCAGCTAGTCTTGGCACTGTTTGGGTCACTGCTGTGTGTTTTGACAGGTGAAGGTTCATTCCAAAGGAACACAGACAACCAAAGAGGAGATGGAAGTGGATCCGAAACCTGATGTGGATTCAGATTCCTGGTGTCTCCTGGGAACGGACTCGTGCCGCTCCAACCTCTAGTCTCCTGAGCCCACTGGGATCCATCTAACTTCACAGCACACTAACCGAATGCAGAGAGCGGCTTTTCTGGCGTCAGGTCACTCGCAGACAAGGAGCGAGGCCGGAGGCTCCAGAGCAGCACCCATGTACGTTTGATATGAACTAGGAGTGAGTTTGAGAGGGGGAGGGCCCTTGAGCTGTAGGCCAGCTCAGTGATTGAAGCAGCAGCAGCTCCTCTTTGTACCTTATCTGTCAATTCTGCACATGAGGCAGAATGGCCCCATTATGGCAATGGCTCCAGTAGCAGCTTGTGGCCCTTTCATTGTTTCACTGTTTCCTGGGAGCTGCCTTTGGGACCCCAGTATTCATCACTGCATCTGTAGACAAGAGGAGGAAACGTTCTGTACGGAAGCTGGCTGAACCCTAAGACTCGCCACCTTCACTTCAGAGGGGTGAAGGAGTAGGATCCTCTCCTTACCATGTGGTAAGGCCCCGCTGGTGAGGCTGCTTCCCTCTGTTCAGGCGCAGAGGGACCAGCGAATGTATCGTTCTGGAGGCAGTGGAGATGTTCCTCTTAGGGAGATCATAGTAGACAGCATGTCCCTGGCCTTGAGGCATAGCTTCTGGCCATATGGCTGCATCCACTGGTCTGTATAGACAGAGTTTGAAGGCTTTATTCTGGGTGCTGAGGGCTTTCCAACTTCCAGGCAATGCACCAAGATGAGTGAATCAGGTGTTTCCCGTAGCAGTAGTGGGGACTGTCTGAGATTGGATCTGTAGTTCTTGGTTTCAGACCACCTGTCTCCCAACCAGATGCCAAGCATTGGGCCTCAGACCAAGTTAGGCATTTCTTGCTCCAGCTGTTCAACTTGGTTTGGGTGCCAGAGTTCCTGGTTTCTTGGCATAAGCCTGTAGCTGCTCCCTGTTTGGCTTCTCTTCTGCTCAGTCCCTGTGCCTACACTGTGTGGGTGTGGGAAAAATCCGGGTTTTTCCACTCAGTGTTCTGATGAAGCTGGAATGCCATTTCCTACCCAGAATAGGTCACTACTGCTGTGGTCTCAGGATGTAGCCTTCCCCAAAGACCTTGAATGATCAAATCTCAGTCCGGAATTCGTCTTCTTTCAAGAAGTGAGAAGCTTTCCCAAGAAAATTTGAGATGGGAAGAGGCGTGGTCTGATGTTCAAGATTTATTAATTTTCTGTTAGAGAATGAGGTTAATATTATTCCCCTTAAATTTTTTAGCAAACTGACTTTGAAGTAAAGCCTATGGGATTGGTAGGATCCCTGGGAGCAGCTAGCCTCCCCCGCCTTACTTGGCGCCTCTAAGGAGTCCTAAGTTCCTCTCACCTTTGCTGTGAGAACGGGGCTGTGGTTTCATCAGGCTTAAATGATCCCCATCAATGGCATGTTACTAGAATTGCCTTAGGTCTACTGGAGGTGAGTATCATACCACCTCTGACAGACTTCTTTTGAGAGACTATTCCGGGGAATCCAGCATTCCCCATTTGTCTCTAGAGGTGGATGCCAAACCATTTGCTCGTAACATAATGCTCCTTAAATACTTCTTTGGTGCCTATTGCTAGTATCCGTGAGCTGAATCAAGTGCTGTCTTCCCAATGCAGTGTCCAGGGCAAAAATCGTTCCAGTGTGCCTGTCCATTGCTACCAGAAGCAGGGCAGGAGGAGAGGCCTCCTGGGAGGTGGTGAGAATCAGGTGCCCTGGTACAGCCAGGCTTGTTTGCCCTTGTGACTATGCTCTCCTTTCCCCCACGTGCATTGGAGCCAGTTCTCAGGTCAGGGTCCCAGCTTGAGGGTCGTTGGTCACATGCAACAGTGCCTTTGAGGACTGAAAAGTTGAGCCTGAGCCATGTCCAATAAGCAAGCACCAAGCTGATGAGAGTCGCTCTCCTGCAGTGCACTGCTATCCTCATTTCTCAATGCTCTGCAGTTGGGAAGCTAGGTGCACAGACTGGATTCCCCTTGGATCTAGTGGAGGATTAGGGCTCCTGACAGAGGATGCCCTGTGCCCCACAATCTCATATGTGCCTTAGAGGATTCACGCTATCCAGGTTGTGCCTGTTACAGACCACAGATTTCACACCAGCCAGCTATGCAACAAAAAAAGCAGTTTAAAGGTAGCACCTTTGTCTTGGGCTGAAAACAGAAAGGCAGGCAGGCAGGCAGAAGTGCCTTTGAGCAGTTTCAAACCCTTTTTACTTCTCCCCTTCTTGCAGTGCTAGCTCCATATGTGTTGGTCTCCTGCTAGTATTGCTACTGAGTTGTTGTAGTGGAACACAACTTATGCCTGCTCTGACACTCTGGCTGAAAACTAGTTTGTCGTCTTTCTTTGAAAGGTTAAAGGGTGGAGTGGTTTGGAATTTCTGTTTAAATAAATGTTTAAACTCATACTCCTGTGTTTGAACTCCTTTTCTTGTCTTTTTTTTTTCCAAGAGAGGAAAGGGAAATATGCATAAAGTAATCTGTTTTATTTGCATTCTGGTTTTGATTATTTTCTTTTGCTTATAGAAAGAAGGTGAAAGGGCTTTTAGATTCTTTGCTCTGGTTAAAAAAGAAGTCAGTTTCTATGTCCCTTCATTAAAAGAAACCAACAACAACCAAACAAAACACCCATTCTTTTCTCATACTGCTACATCTCCTCCTAGTGACGTCAGGAGCTTGTGTGTGTGTGTGTTTATTTCCACAGTTTGAATGCCAAGTGGGGAAATGAGTAACGGGAAAAGAGCCTTAAAGGGAAGAAGTACCTGTTTTTCTCAGAAGAGCTTCACTGATCATGAAGGCCTACAGAATGGAGAACCTTCCTGACACCTGTTCAGCCAACTGTTCCTGCACACTGTACTTATTTTATCAGAAATTGTATTAAATTGCGAAATATCTTGACAGGCAGAACAGAGTTAAAGATTTAAAATCCACTAGAGATTTGGATGCTGAAAATGCAGCATGTCTCTGAGAGGGGGATTGTACTGCAGGAGCAAAAGTGGAAGCTGAGCTGTGTTCAGTAACACAGCTTGAGTAGCATCAGGGTAATTAACCATGATAGCAAGGCAGCACCCTAAATCTCTGTGCCGACCCTGATACTAACATGTTACTAAGTTTTAAACCAGTTATCAGAGACTTTCTGGATCCTGAAACAATAGCAAGGAGGGGTGAACTGCCTACCTTAGCTCCAAAACAGGTAACAATGAAGCCTGGTGATTTAATTTTAGTAACTTTTACTTAAGCTACAGTTTCAATCTTTTCAATCTCAGCCATTTGCCTGTCCCTTATGAGAAGTCCCCAGTGCATGGGGTTTATTTTACAGCATCAAATGCTTTTTAGTGTGCATCCACGTGTCACCACTTACACTGCTGACCTTTAGGGTCCACTAAATATAGTGGATAAATAAATAAAACATAGTGCAAGGAAAACACAGTTAATATTAGAAGACAGGCAGTGGTCCTGAGTTTTTTAACTAGTGTGTTCAAATCATTTGTACCTTTCATGAATTCAAGGAGGCTGGTTCAAGGTTTCAATTTACCCCTTTCCTAACTCTTGCTATCCTGTTTTTTAAAACCCTGAAGCTAAAGCATTGGTCTTGTTTCTCTGATCAGTTTGGATACAGTAAATTATTTTCCCTTCTTTAGAGTCTGCTTTTACACACATTGTTGGCTGGCACAGTGCAGCAATGATCCTTTCTGGGACCTTAATGCTTTTCCAGGGTGTGCCAAGGGACTGAGATTTCTGCTCACATATCTATAGGACAGAAGGTCTCCAACCTCTTTCAGGAGTCACGTTCATTAATTGAAGGCTGGAGTATTTATTCGTATTCAGCTTCTGACTATTCCAGCTTAATCTAGTTGTTTTAGATCTTTCCCTAGGTTGCCATGAGCTGCTCCTATTGCTACTGGAGGACTTGCAAAAGGAGCTTCTGGAGCTTTTTTATTCCTTGTTTGCTTGTTGCAACTTTCTCATACAAAGTAGTCTTTCTTACAGTGAGAACGCAGACCACTCTGTGACCATTTAAAATTACTTTTACACAAGAGAAGTAGTTCAATATATTTAATAATCAGAATCTAGAAAAATAACATCTTGAAAAGAAAACAAAAGAAGGGATATGTTTTTGTCATAATGCCCTCCCATTGCAGCAGCCAAGATGAAATAAGCAGATGACTTAAGAAAGGGTGAAAGCTTTGCTTTTAGGGGTTCCTAGCAACTTGGCCTGCAGGAAAACTCAATTTTTAAAAATATTAAATCTGATTGTGATGGTTGTTCTGTTGCCTCAAGGGCCTGGCTGATTCAGAATTGCCTTGTTCTATGCACATGAATTGACATAAGGATTCAAACAGTAAATGCCTCCTATTGCTAGCTTTTCTAACCCCTGGAATTTCTGATCATGAGCTTCATGTGCTGAGGAAATGGGCATCTTTTGTGGGGTAACCTAGGGTGTAGGTCAAAGGATACAAGTTCTTTTTTCAGCATATTCATCCTGAGCTGTTCACTTGCTGTACATAGAAGTTTGCAGCCAGTGTTGAGACTACAGAAAATGCAAATGGAAACTGTGTTTCCAAAACCTGGGAATCTGGTAAAAACCAGGCAGGGAATCACAGCAGCAGATACAGCTGGGCTCTTTCTCATCAGCGCCTCCTCTGTGGTGGAGGTGGGGGCCTATTCCTTATGTTTTTGCATTTGGGAATATGCCTCTCAGCTACTCGGGGAGCAAACTTGCGTCCACAATAGGTGCAGGCAACATAGTCTTCATTTTCGATGGGAGGCAATGGGGGCAGGTCAGACACCTCCCTCCCCTTAGCGAGGATTTGCTCCACCTGCCGGGCCTGTGACATGATGTGGATGAGAGCCTCGTGCTTCTGTTTCCAGTTGTTCTTTCTGGGTGGTGATTTACTCTGCGGAAGGGAAAGTCAGTCAGGGCAACTGGGACCACCATCAGCCTCCATTCTCAAACTTACACTCAGAGCCCAACCCATGTCACCTGTCCCTGTGCATTCCCTGTTAATGTAAAACCCAGCCTGAGAAGCTGAGTTCCACAAAGGGAATCAGAAAGACCAGCACAAAGGAGGATGTAAAGGAAATACTGATGGAAACATTAGTATTTAGAAAGAGCTTGAGGAATAACCAGAAAAGCAAGCAGTAGCGCCAAGGAATTAAAGAGAGTTGCTAAATCTGCTTTGCAGGAACAGAGCTGCGTGTTTCCACTGCCTTCATTTTAACAGACTGTGCTATTTGGATTTTCAGTCAGCTCCCTGCAGCCCCTGATGTCACAGAGCTTTACTGAAGCAGAACCAGTCTGCATCCTAACTACAGCAAGGAAGTGAGCTTTCTCCAGTGGTACACCCTTGACACATTATAAAGTCGAGTCAGGACTCCTGCCTCTATGAGATTTTAAATCTGTATATCCATTTGGCAAGAACCTTTCAGAGGCAATAGCTGTATTGTATCCCTTAGCCCCATGTACATGGGAAGGTGCTTGCATCTCAGAGGTTGAAGGTGGAAGGAATGTGAACAGTAGATGTGGATCCAGGGAGGCAAAGGGACTGCACATTACCTGAGGACTCCTTGAGCTCTTCTGCTGCTGATACTTTTCCAGTTCTGTTCCCCTAGCTCTGGCCTTGCTAGAGTCAAACACTTTCCTCTTGGAGTCTTGGTTCTTGCCACAGATACTCATGTGTTTCTCGAGCCTTGTGCAGAGAAACTTACGTTTGCAGAAGCTGCACTGTCCAAACCCCTCTTGCTCCACAGCACTGGTGGCCTGCCTGTGTAGCACCTCTGCAAATGGGTGGTCATCAGAATCTCGGTCTGAGAGGGCAGGGAGAGAAAGGCTCTGTTTTGGGACCAGTTTTGAACAAGAAGATAAATGCTCCAAGGGTATGTTGTCTTGTATTTCAATGTTGTTTGTTTTGTTGTATTTTGCAGCCACCAGCCACTCCTTGAGTTCCCCCACAGCCAGCTCTTGGGGTTGGAGAGTGGCGCCAGACTTGGGGATAGTGTCTTCTGCAGACTGTGCCCCACTGAAGATCCCAACACCTGGTGTGTCTGCAACTCTGAAAATGTTCTCTTCAGGGTGCCTTGTGGCCTTTTGCCCATGGGTCCTCTCCACTTCACTTTCTTTTCTCTCCTCTACCTTGATAAGCTCCTTCTCTCTTTGAATCCTCCTAAGTGTCTCCACTGTCCTCTTTAGTTTCTCTCCAAGAAGAGCCTTTTTCTTTTGAATTGCCTCTTCTAGGTTCCTTCTGTCTGCCTCTAGCTTTAGGATGTAGGCCAGCTCTCTCCTGTATAGATGGGGAGCTGATGGTTCAGGCTCTCCTGTCCAAGGGCAGAGCTCTGCAGCTAACTGAGATCTCCCTGCTGGAACCATCTCTTTGCTTATTGAGCTTGATCTGCTATTTGGAGATTCCTGCACACGTGTGGAACTTCTAGTGTTGAGCAGTGAGGCTCTTGCACTCTTGTGGTGAGAAATTGGTTGCAGGGGATATGCACGGTCCACTCCTTCTTTTTGTCTGCCTAATGATTTAGCTGATAGAGTACAGGCCTGGCTGATGAGATGCTTGCTCTCTAGTCCACTTGACCAGAAGTGCCTGGGCCTGTCCTGAGTGCTTTCTGCAGATTTAGAATAGGAATATCTTTGGTTCTTTTCTGCATAGAGATCTTTTAAACTTTCCTCTTTGTCAAGTATGAATCCATGCTGAAAGTTGTCCTTCTGGTATTTCAGCTGGGAACCAGGAGAAAACTCAGTAGCTGCCACCACAGGAGCCGCCGGTGGAAAAAAATCCATTCAGTGCCTGAGAAAGAGCCTGAGGTTAGAAGCAAAGCCATTACAAACAATTTTATCCAAAACTGGACAAATCTTCTCCTAACAGTTTATGCATGGACACTGCATACAGAAGTTATAATAAGTATTTATAAAGGTTTTGTAATTTTTCTGCTTTCTATAAATCTTTACATTCCTTCCATCTAGGGAGTTTCTATGCTGCCTCATCTAGTCCCAACCGTTTATGCAGCCAGTAATAAGACACACTTTTATTTCTCTTTCTGTCTGAGCCCTGCCTTAGCATGGTAGCAGCAGAAATATACTGCAATGACAGAGGAATTGTTATAGTCCCCACACGGTTTCCCATAACGTGTCCCTTCAGTTCTGGCAATGTGATTCACCGCTCTGTCACACATGCAGGAGTGCGACCAAGCTCGGCACAATCTTCCTGTGGCTCGTTCCGCCGCATGCCCGGAGCTGTGCGGGGTGCTCACGCCGCGGGGCGAGCGGGGTTACCTGCGGGGCTGCAAGCGGCGCTCCGCCGCCCTTCCTCCTCGGCAAGCTGCGTCCGCACACGCTGCGCTAATGTTCCGAGAGACCCGACCCGTCCTGCCGCTGCCGCTGCCGCTGCCGCTGCCGCTGCCGCTGCCGCCGGGCCCCGGCGCGGAGCTGCGGCCGCCGCCAGGCTGCGTCCTCGCGCTGCCGCCGGCTGTTGCCGGGACACCGGCGCCGCTCCGGCCCCGCGCGCCCCCGGATCGCTCCCGGCCGCGCGGCCGTTCCACCGCGGTACGAGCGCGGCGCCCGTGGGCGGCCCCGACGCGTTATTCGGGAGGCGGACCGAGCTGCATTATTCATGAGGCGGTGCGAGGTACATTCATTATTCATGAGGCGGTTCGAGGTGCATTCATTATTCATGAGGCGGTCCGAGGTGCATTCATTATTCATGAGGCGGCGGATGAGGGACCGATCCCGCTACGCTCTTCATTGGCCGCGGGAGGGCGGCCGCGGCCCCGGAGACCGCCCCGTGGCGCAGGCGCAGCGGGGGCGCGGCCGCTGCCGCAGCAGGAGCAGCGAGCAGCGGTGTCGGTGCCGCCATGGCGGACGGCGAGGGCTTGCTGTCCGTGGACTACGAGGTGCACGGCAAGGTGCAAGGCGTGTTCTTCCGCAAGTACACGCAGGTGCGTGCCGCGGTCCCCGGGCGGCTGTCAGCGCGCCGCGGGCGGGTGGGTCGTGGCCGCGGCCACGGCTGAGCTCCGGCTGCTGCTGAAGGGGGCAGCCCGGCATCGCGGTGTTGCTGGCTGCACGGCCGGGTTATGTAAGCATGACTAAAGAGGGAGTTTCAGCCCCAGTTTTACGCGTGAAAGAATATATTGAGTAGTCGAATAAATCCTCTGCTGCTTTCCTGTTGCCTGAGCCGCAGGAACTTCCTTGGAGTTCTGTGTCTTGCCAGCAAAATTGGCTCCTGTATACGAATGTTGTTCTATTGCTCTGTTACAGTTTGGATTAACCTCATTTTGCTCTGCATTGTCTTCTCAGGGAGAGGCTAAGAGGCTGGGGCTTGTTGGCTGGGTCCGAAATACCAGCCATGGCACTGTGCAAGGGCAAATCCAGGGTCCAACTGCCAGGGTGCAGGAGATGCAAGAATGGCTCAGGAAGATAGGAAGTCCCCAGTCCCGTATCAGCCGAGCAGAGTTCAGCAATGAGAAGAAGATCGAGGCGCTGGAGCACAAGGAATTCCAGATTTTGAAGTGACTTTGTCCAGGAAGAAGCAGCCTGGAGCATGAGCTGCCCTCATGGAACATTGCCTGTCTTCCTCACTCATTCAGTCAGCCAGTGTTCAGCTCTAGAGAACTTTATTTTATTAAATTTCTAATTTATTGTTTTGTTCGTTTGATGCTCAGCTTTTCACAGAATTCCAGTGGTTAGAGGAAGAGCTATGTTGTCTCTGTTAAAGGGGCTATTCAGGGCCAGAACCTCTGTTTACAAGTGTATGTGGTTTCGGGAGTTTTACATGAGATAAATATGAAATTTGTAGCGTGTGGTATTCATGTGAAGGAAATCACAGGCTCAATGCCGCTAGAAAACATCGCTAAAAACATTATTTCTGTGTACTAAATTTCTCAGAAAAAAATTATTTTATCCTGGAACTTCATATTTTACGTAGAATAAAATTGCTTGGATTTCGCCTGCTGTTTGGCATGGATGTCGGATGGAGGGGCTAAGTGGATGACGGCCAAAGCTGCCGCTGTGCGGGAATGGCCAGGGGGAAGCCGCGCTCCCGGCCTCTCTGGGCCCGGTCGGCTGGGAACTACAGCTCCCGGCGTGCTCTTGGCCGGGCCCCGCCCTCGCGCGGCTGCGCACGCGCTGGCGGCCGGCGCGGGGAGCCCGGCGCCGCGGGTCTCGCGGCGCGGCGTTGCGGGGCCGGTGGGTGCTGAGGGGCGGGGGCGGGACGCGGCGGCGGCCGCCGGGACGGGGAAGCAGAGGGCGCTCCGGCCGTGAGGGGAGGGCACGGACAGCGTGTGGCGGCGAGCTGAGCCGCGGGTCCGCGCTGCCCTCGTCAGCCCCCGGGGCCGGGCAGCTCCGGAGACCTGTCGCAGCGGCGGCACCGGATCCCCAGGCACGGCTAGCAGGCCCCGTGAAGGCCACTGGGAAACCAGTAGGCGCCAAGGACTTGGAAACAGTGGGTTCTCTTTCGCATAAACAGCTTGCTCTTTGTGCCTGACACCCACTGCCAAGCTTGCTTTACTCCTTTCCTGGATATGTAGCAGCCGATGCTATTTGACTAGGACTGTCAATTTTTGTGGGGACGTAGAGGTGAAAATAGGAGAAGAGCAGCTTTCTGCCCAGTTCTTGGTGATATTTATAATTCTGATGAAAGTTGCAGTGGAAGCCTTTTGCTTGCAGATCCTTTGAGTTTGGCCTCATACAGTAGGAGTGTGATTTGGATATGCTAAGTTTGAGAACACAGCATTTTGTTAGTAAGGAGCTTAGGCTCAGGCTCTGGCCATCTACCCTGAAGGCACTGACAATGTGTAGTCAGAGCATGAGCATGAGAGTAATCACAGAAAAAGCCTCTGAATAAAAAACAAACAAAAAAAAAACCCAAAAACAACAACAAAAAAAAAAAAAACAACCTAAGAAAAATGTATTTATGAGGGTGAATGAAATAAATCAAAGTCTTTCCAGGTCTTTAATTTGAATTTATTTTTTTCCCTTGTCTTTCTGTGTTTTAAGGAACGTGGAGCAGTGAGCGCCCTGCAGTTTCTTGTGTTTCTCATCTACTAGATTTTGACATGATCAGACGTTTGGTGGAAGATGTGCGAGCCAGGTTGCGTTCTGAAGTCACTGTCAACTCGCTCGGACACTGTGTTGAGGAGCTTGTCCTCAATAGCATCGATGCCAAAGCAACATGTGTAGCTATCAGGGTGGATTTGGAAGCTTTTAAGATCCAGGTGGTGGACAATGGCTCTGGGATGGGGAAGGAGGACCTAAGGGCTGTTGGAAAGCGCTACTTCACCAGCAAGTGCAGCTCAGTGAGAGACTTGGAGAACCTGACTTTCTATGGCTTCAGAGGAGAGGCTTTGGCAAGTATAGCCAACGTGGCCAGTGTAGTGGAAATCTCATCTAAGACCAGCAGGACGGCAAAAACGTTTATGAAGCTGTTTCACAATGGGCAGGCACTGGAAGTATGTGAAGCTGAATTGAACAGACCAAGTGGCGGAACTACAGTGACCGTGTGCAATCTGTTCCATCAATTACCAGTGAGGAGAAAGTGTATGGATCCTGTGCTGGAAATTGAGAGAGTGAGACAGAAGGTGGAGGCTGTTTCGCTAATGCATCCTTCTGTTTCCCTTTCTTTAAGAAATGATGTTTCTTGTTCTATGGTGCTTCAGCTCCCTAAGACAAGAGATGTATACTCTCGGTTTTGTCAAATTTATGGACTGGGCAGATCTCAGAAGCTGCGAGAAATAAATCACAAATCTGGGGGATTTGAGATAAGTGGTTTTATCAGTACCGAGGGTCATTACAATAAGAATATGCAGTTCTTGTATGTGAATAGGAGGCTTGTTTTAAAGACAAGACTACATAAACTAATTGATTTTTTATTAAGAAAAGAAAGTGTAATTTGCAAGGCAAAGAGTGTCCCTGCAAACCGACAGGCTAATTCAAGTCCTGGTCGCTATCGCTCTGGGCCAGAGTTGTATGGGATCTTTATTCTCAATGTAACCTGTGCACACAGTGACTATGATGTGTGCCTGGAACCTGCAAAAACTCTGATTGAGTTCCAGAACTGGGATGTTCTTCTAACTTGCATAGAGGAAGGAGTGAAAATATTTTTAAAGCGAGAGCATTTATTTATTGAACCTTGTAGTGAGGACATCAGAGAATTTAATGAACGTAATGACTTTTGTTTGCATAATGCTCCAGTTCTGAAGCCTTCAATTCTTGATAAGAAGAGCATCCAGGAAAGTTTTAAGAAAGCATGTAATGAAATTGTGGATTCTTATGAAATATGTAGCTTGCAATCAAAAGATGTCAAGAGGAAATCCATTACTGGGAAAAAAAGTTCAAATCTGACAGAGTCAAGTAGAAGTATACAGGAAACTAAAAATGCCCCAGTTCAGAACACTGCTGAATCATCTGATCCATGTAAGAACAATAAAGCAGAGATTCCATTGCCAAGCAAAGAGGACACAATTTCTGATTTAATTAAATCAAATACATCCGAACAGGAGCCAAAATACACTAAGAGTTCCCAAAAAGTATCTGATACTCATCTGAAACCTTCAGAACATCTTTGTTCCTCTTTCAGTGGAGGGTCCAGATCAGAAATAAGAGAAATATATGGTTGTGGTGACCTAGGGGATTGTGCAGAGAATAATATAAAAGATGCGGGCAGCCAGCAAGGTCAAGTAACGCAGGAAAGCAGTAAGGTTCTTGTCTTAAATAAGGATGTTATTCAATCACTGCATGAGAGAGAAGACCCCACTGAAACAGCAGTGGCACCTGAAACTGTCTCTGGAAGTTCATTAATAAAGCTGTGTAATGCAAGAAGAAACAGGGGGATGGCTGAAGGGATAGATGATGCCAGAAGAGGGGCTGTTAGTTCAATGCCATTAAAGCTGTGCCTTACAGACCTCATAAAAAGTGTTATGCAAAATGAGTCCCCACATGACTGTGAACAAACAGAAACAAATCTTGCATTAAACACACCGTGTAGGCCTGGCCCTGTCAGTGCCAAGGGTATTTTTGACCACAAAGTGAATGTTGTGTTTCAGTCTTCAAATGCTAAGGGTATTTCCAGTAATACTAATAAAGAATATACAGCTTCTCTTACCAGAGAAGTAGTTATGACTGATGGTAATGAGAACAAACCTTTGTCACATCGGCTGAGGGAGGAGATAGCTGTGCCTACTGCTGCCCATAAAAGACCTTATGAAATGTCGAACAATACGGAATTGCCACTGGCATCTTCTTCAGGTATTCCTCGCAAGAAAATTGTTATCAAAAACACAAGAAAACAGATAGCTGTGCCAAGATTGCAGCCCTCTAAGAAACTGAACTTGTCCACACAGCTGGGATCATTGGAAAAGTTCAGGAGGTATTATGGGAGAATTAAGGCTACGCTACCAACACCCATGTCAGAGCAAAATGAATGTGGTCTCCCAGTTCTTAATTCAGAAACCAACTGTGATTTTTCAAAGAATGGGAATGGCAATCATGATAACTTTGGCAGCTGTGAAACTCTACCTGCAGAAGATACAGATTCTAATAGTATTAGCCAAGGTTTTGGTTCCTTAGAAAAGACTTTATTTTGCAGTGGAGAAATGTCACAGGACAAACAGGCCCTTTGTCAGAGTCCTTTGACATTGTCGGATTACTCTCTGGTTAGTAACAAAGATACAAGTTGTAAAAGATCTCCAGGATCATTATCATCCAAACTGTCCAGAATGAAAACTGATCACAAAGAAGTAGGACAACTTGGTGAACAGTTCCAAACAGACTCAAATAGAAAAGATGATAATTCTTTTGATCGTGAATCCTCAAATAATGATTTTTTGTATAATGTTTGTCAAACATATAAATCCTCAGTGGAAAAAATGAGGGAGTGTAAGTCCAGCATTTCTAAGGAGGCTGTGTGCTCGCAATCAGATGTTGTGATAGCAGAGTCTGTGAAGAGTCCTATCAGCTCGTCATCTCTCAGCAGTATAGAAGGAGAGTACACAGTCTCTTCGGTTTTATCATTACCTGCTAAAAATGATTGTACTAACATCATCGGTAAAGATAAAAGTACGTTAGGTGAATCCTCAGAACAAAATATGAAAGATACCGAGGTTCCACATGTGACCTTACAAAGGAACTTGGAATTCTCTGCTGACAACACAAGAACAGACAATCCCAGGAATGAGTTGTGTTCTGTCTGGCTGCAAGATTTTGATGCTTTATCGGGTAAGACAGTATACATCAATAAAGCAACGGGACTCAGCACCTACGGCACTCCTCCTAGTGAAGGATTTCAAACTGCCTGCATTCAAGATATAACAACAATGGCTGTGAATGTTGTTTCAGAGAATGGTAAGAGGGGTGGTGGTTGTAAAAATGGGAGGAAAACCATTCTAGGTGCATGAAATAATCTTGCTGGGAGCACCTGAGAGCTTTTACTGAATTAGTCACCACCTTATAGGTAATAGCTGCATGGAAAACAAAGTGTTGGGAACTATGGAGACAGTAAAACATTAACAGTAAAGAAATTAAAAGATCATTTTTAATGAAATGGTAAAAATAAATTTTTCAGCATCATGACAATTAACAGATAGCTGCCTAGTTTTTCAGTGGGCATCATGACAATCTCTGTGATAACAGTTATATGTAATTGTTGTCACATATAAAATGAGAAACATACTTCAAAGTAAGTGTACCAGAAAAATACTGTGTTTTTTACCATTTTGTCCTAAACAGTTATGTTTCTAAGAATGTGTTGTTAAAGAGAGCCTTATATTAAAATGACCTTTTTTCAAACTGCATACAAAATTTAAAGCAACCCTTGAAAGATGAATAAAAAAATCTAACTTCATTGGGAATGTGTAGTCTCCTGTCCATGGGTTTTAGAAGGCAGGCTGTTCTTTCACACTTTGTAGCAGATGTTGTACAGCATTGTTGCTGTTTTGATGGTGGACCTTCTCTACTAGT